AGGGAAGCAGTCGGGAAGGCCGTCGGGAAGGCTGTCGGGAAGGCCGTCGGGAAGGCCGTCGGGGAAGCCGTCGGGATGGCCGTCGGGCTGGGCGTCGGGAGTGCCGTCGGGGAGTCCGACGGGAAAGCAATCGGGTGTGTCGTCGGGCTGGGCGTCGGGTGCGCCGTCGGGCTAGGCGTCGGGAAGGTCGTCGGGAGGGCCGTCGGTCGGGGAAACCGTCGGGCTGGGCGTCGGAAAGGCCGTCGGGCTGGGCGTCGGGAAGGACGTCGGGCTGGGCGTTGGGAAGGCCGCCGGGGAGGCCGTCGGGCTGGGCGTCGGGCTGAGCGTCGGGAGTGCCGTCGGGGAGGCCGTCGGGAAAACAGTCGGGAAGGCCGTCGGAAAGGCCGTCGGGAAGGCCGTCGGGAAAGCCGTCGCGAAGGCCGTCGGGGAAACCATCGGGCTGGGCGTCGGGAAGGCCGTCGGGGAAGCCGTCGGGGCGGCCGTCGGGGAGGCCGTCGAAAAGGCCGTCGGGAGCGCCGTCGGGGAGGCCGTCGGGAAGGCCGTCGGGAAAGCCGTCGGGCTAGGCGTCGGGAGAGCCGTTGGAGGAGCCCTCGGGAAGGCCGTCGGGAAGGCCGTCGGGAAGGCCGTCGCTCTGGGCGTCGGGGGTGCCGTCGGGGAGGCCGGCGGGGAGGCCGTCGGGCTGCGCGTCGCGAAGGCCGTTGCGAAGGCTGTCGGGAAGGCCAGCGGGCTTGGCGTCGGGCGAGGCGTCGGGAGTCTCGCCGTCGGGCAGATAGTGATGGCGGCGTGGTTCGAGCTCGAATACGTGACTGTGCTGCCTCATAGATGCAGCATGCGTTTGGGTGATTGCCATCTTCTGCTGGCCACCATCTGCAACAAGCGTCCTCAATAGGTCCCTCTTGATCGGGAGTCGCCGGCGACGCACTGGGATCCGCCATGTACTGTAAACACTGGGCCTCGCACTCGTTCCTCGTGGTCGCGATATTTTCAGAGTAGCCGTAGCCGAGGAGCCGGTTGGTCGAGGAGCTAGCACCATTCGGATCGAACGTGATCGAAGTGTCGCACGTTTTCGCAGTGTGCCACACCATGGGCGTGCACACCGTGGGATCGCCGCTGCCGATCGACGACCGCGCAGCCGCTGCTGCGACTCTGGCGTTCACACTGCGGGCGGCCGTGTCATCGAACTGGAATTGAATCATCTGGGAATCGGCTCCGGTCGCCGTGCTCGGGTGGCTATCGGGCGCGATCCCCTGTACCAGTCCACTCGGAATCGGGGAAAGCTCGGTGTGGGCATGAACTGCACTGCTGTAGCGGGACATGATGAATAGCGTTCCTTCCACCCTCACCTGGCCACGCACTATATAAGAAGTCGACCAACACTGCTACGGTTGCCCGGAGTCGCGAGTCAGCGTGTCTTCAGGTCCCTTTGAGTCCGCTGTGTTGCCTATCGCAAGGCCCACAGCGCAAGACGATCGGGCCTTATCGCACGACTCTTCCTAAAGCCAGGCGACCCCAAGACGGGCCAAGAGAACCACACCAGAGCCCAAAGACGGTTCCATAGGCCATGAGACGGCCCAAGAGCACACCGAGACGGCCCGCAAGACGCCCCTCAAAGGGCTCCAAGAGAACCCCTGAAGAGGAACCCCATCTTCGAAGATGGTTCCCCTGAGGCTGCCGAGGGATCGCTCTCGTCTTCTCGAGCCCCCGACGCTCCGGGACGGCCCACCAACAGGCCCCAGCGACGACGCGCGCGCGCGTGCACTTCGCCTCCTTGTCCGCAAACCATGCTTGAGCACTGACGACCTACGAACAACAAGCGCGCGTAGGATTCTTTGCAGAGGACAAAGGGGGGGGGGGATACCCGACCGGCCTGGGATGTCATGAATTCATGTTCAGGACGGACGACGGGGCACAATCGTATGAAAATTGTGATCCGGCCCAAGAAGGCTCAAAGAGGCGCAGGCCCCAAGGAACCAGAATCCTCGACTCCACGTCGGTCTCTGGCAGGTGCTCGCGCGCTCGCCCCCTGCGGGCTCCTGGCGGCCAACAGCGGCCCCCAGAAGCCTGCAAGAGAGCCCCCTAAGAGGACCCCCCCGAGGCGGTCGACGAAGGACCCCAGCGCGGCCGACGAGGCCTCCGAGACGGCACCAGGGTAAGACACGAGACTGCCGCAGAGACCTCCCAGGGCAGTCCGAGGACGTCCAAGGATAGAGAGAGAGAGCCCACTGGGGCGCAAAAGAGGCCTTCGAGAAGCCCTCGCAGGGCCCCCAAGAGGCCCAAGGAAGCCCCTAAGATGCCTCCACAGGGCTCCCAGGAAGCTCCCAGGAGTCCCCAGGAGGCCCCCAGAGGTGCCCCCTTCTCCTCCTCCTCCTCCCCCTCCTCCTCCACCTGATCTTCCCGGCCATCCTACCCCAAGTGTTCCCCGAAGGATTTCCACAACGGTCAGAGGAGCACATGGTCCGATAGCCTGGCAGAGCTCCTGCCGCAACGCTCGGCCACACGGGGGCCTTCCAAAAGGCAGGGGGCGGCGGTGATTCGCCGTGCGAGTCTTCGAGATTCCACGACGCGTTCTCGTGCTATTCATTGAACGCGATGCCTTCGAACGAGCTTGCCTCGGACAGTAGGAGCTCGACTACAAGAAACCTTCCACAAGAAACCCGACCCTAAGACCCCAGAACATCCATTGATTTCTTGGTGGGGACGCCACGCTTTCCATAGCAAAACCATCGGAACCCAAGACACCCAGGGAACCCTGGAGGCAAGCAAGGTGTTTCTTGGCATGGGCCTCCAATGTACGTTCTCAGGCCATCTTCTGAACACGCTGCCTTCAAACGAGTTTGCATCGTACGCCAGGAGGCGGGCGAGTAAGAGAACCTTGCACGGCAAGCATGGTTGGATGCCTTGGGTCAGGAATGGTCACGGAAGCGCGGGTGGCATAACGAGTGAGGCGCTGAAGGGTCTCCGCAGCACTCCGAAGGAGGTGCGAAGCTCGTGTATGGATGGCGGAGGGAAGAGAAAAAACGACCAGCTCCTGAATGTAGACGGGAAAGCCTCAGCTGACCGCAGGCGGACGCCACCTGCAACTCTGCGTAGCAACCTGCCGCGTCTGAGCTGCAGTGGCACACCGACTGGCGCGCTTGAGGTTGTCCGCTGCCCAACAACCTGAAGTTGTCGGGGCCCTCGTGGGCCGCCTTGTTGGCGCCCTCAGGGGCCAGTTGGAGCCCTCAGGATTCGTCTTGCACTAGCGCACCTGACACTTTTAAACAAGCGCAAGCGAGCCACGTCGTGGCGAAACGCAGGAAGGAGAGGAGGAGGGGGAAGAAGAAGGGGCGAGGGCGAAACCGTCGGCGGCCCAAGCCCTTGGCTGCGCCACATCAGTCTAGCGCCCTTTACTGGCGCGCCTGGCACACTCTGCACGCGTCACGCACCTGGCGTGGCTGGAGCCCGTGGCAGTTTTGGCGCATGTGGAACACGCGGCGCATCTGGCGCACCAAGCGCGCCTGGCGTCCTTGACCCCTGCAGCGTGGTGCGACTGCTACACTTAGTACGCGTGGCGCACCTCGCCAGCATCGCGCACCTGGCGACGAGATTGGTGACACGTAGCTGCCCATCCTCTTGCCACAACTGAGTCAACCACCGAGAACTCTGACACGCTGAGGCGTGGTAGAATGTCACATTCTGCCTCGCAGGGATCCTGACATCTTCAAGGGCCCCTACGCTCTCATCGCAGACAAGTGCGTGCATCCCTAGAGGCCTCCTAGATGGGATCCGGGTAGATGGGATCGAAGGATCGCGCCGCATCGCCGAGACGTTGCCCATGTATCGGCGATGCATCGGCCACTTCGGCAACGCATCCGCGCAGACGGAGCGGGGATGCACGGTCTCTACATCGAGACGCATCGTCGATGCATCAGCGATGCGGCGCGATCCTCAGACCCCATCTGCTCCGACCCCATCCATAGACGAGCGCGTTCCACTACTCGCACATTGACTACTCGCAAATGGCCTGGATCCGCAGGGGGGATCTACGAGAAACTGCATCGAAGCAGACGTGTGCCTTTCGGACGTTTGCGAGTAGGCACTCTGCGAGTAGTGCAACGCGCCCGGTGAATCCAGGAGGCCTAGAATCCCCCCCTCTTTCATAACTCGATGTAGATCATTGATCATGCGGAGCGAGGCGGAGGACAACAGTGCAGGAGAGGGCGGACGAGGAGGCCTTCGGAGGCCGCGGGGACGTCGCCGTCGTCCTCCCCCCCCCTCGCGCGCGGGGCCGGCTTTTGCTTGGGGGGGGCCCTGGGGCCGGGGGCGACAGCATCGTCCCCCGCGGGGGGGCGATCAAGAGGGAAGAAAGGGAGGAGGAGGGAGAGAGAGAGGAGGAAAAGGAGAATGATGAAGAGGATCCCATCACAAGAGGTCTAGGGTTTTCCCAAATGTCTGAATCTGCGGGGCTGGACCGCAACCTTGCCAGGCGCACGTGATTTGTTCTGGCACGGACGCGCTTCACGGTGCCACCACCAAGCTGACAGAACGGGGGTGCGAAGGACGAGGAGCCACGGGAGTGGCGGGACACCGCCCGAGATTGATGGATGAGTATCGTCTAAACCGATCCCCATCCCCAGCGGCGTGGCCTGGGCCCCGCTGGCCGAATTACCCCCCCGGATGAGGATATAAGTCGTTCTCTTCGGGCTTCGAAGGGTGTGTCCCCAATTGGGGTGGTGACTTGGTGGGGGTCTTGAAGGGGATGGAGATGGGGATGGGGGGTCGGATAAGCGATGCTGAATGGACTGCCCAGGGTCGGGGGCGGCAAAGAGGGGAGTGTCCAAGAGGGGGGGATGCAAATCATGACCGGCGGCATGTGCGCGGCCCAGCGGGGGGGCCAGGGACGTAATAAAACAAGAAGAGGCGCCATGAGATCTGGGGAAATATCATGGCCCACGCCCCGATATCCCCCCCCCCTAGTCATCACCCCCCTCTTTTCCGCCCCCGACAGGGGGGAGGGGAGCCAGAGGTAGATGTAGAAATTCTCGCCGAAATACCTCACTATCCAGATCAGCGCCGGGATGAGCAGCCCGCCTCCGACGCAGGCGGGCGATGGGGTCGCGGGCGAGGAGGGCCCCATGGCGCGAGTGCGCTGACAACTGCCGGCCTCGTCGGGGGGGGGGGAGGAGAAGGAGGAGGAGGAGGAGGAGGAGAAGAAGAAGAAGAAGAAGAAGGATAATACCAATAATAATAAGAAGAAGAAAAAGAAGAAGGGGCGTGGCAACGGGGTCGGGAGGGACTGCGAAGAGGGAGGGGGGAGGCGAAGGGGGGGGACCAGCTGGACGAGCAGGAGAAGGTGATCAACCGAGGCTAGGAAAGGGACTGAGAGGGGGTGGAGATCGAGGATCAAGTGGGCGAGGACAAGGATGAGAATGAGGACAAGGACGTCGATGACGGACAAAACAAACATGCCTAGCGGGGACGGGTCAAATAGGACGAGGACCAAGCGGCCGTGCAAGACCTGGACAAGCGGCCAGAGGTACAACCTGTTTCTATATGAGGGGCGGCTATACCACTCCGCTCTGGCATCGTCTCCTCGGCCAGAGAGGTGCGTGCGTCCTTCTCCAGACCCTCAGATTCATCTCCATACTCATCTGCCTGCCCCTGCCACACTCATGCTCCTCCTCCTCCTCCTCCTTCTCCTCCTCCTTCTCCTCCTCCTCCTCCTGAATCACCTGCTCCTGTGCCTCCTCATCCTCCTGCTGCTGCTGCTGCTCCTCCTCCTGCTTCTCCTCCTCGTTCTCCTCTTCGCCTTCATCGTCTCCTGTTTTCCCCCATCCTTTCCTCATCGCCCTCTTCCGCCGTCTTCCGAATCATCCACCACCGTGCCTTTCGCACCGGTTGGACTTGCTTGCAATCAGGACCTCCTCTGAATCCACCTGATACCGTGGCGCAGGTCGCCTCACCAAGTACAACCCACGCCCAAATTAACGCGCACTCCGCTGCGGTTCAGCCGCGGCGACGGCCGTGACGATCAAATTAGATTTCCCCAGCAAGGTTTGCACGACTGGGTTCTTCAGTAACAACCATGAATGATCGAACGGGCCCGCCGAAAAATGTTCCACGCCCCTGAGATCCGACGTCGTGATTTTTTCGATACGGGGTCCCCGGACGTCTCGGCCTATTCCCCAGGGCCGGTTTTTCATCCCGAGTCGTTTTTTGACGGCCCCGAGGCCCGGTAAGGGCCACTAGAGGCCGAAACCTGTAGAAAAAAACCGTCGTGATTTTTTTCAATACGTTGGATCTCTGGGGCTCTGGCCTGGGTGCGGTCGGGTGTGCTCGCGGGCGCCACGTCGTGCCCCCCGCCCGGTGCCCGCGTGCCCACGCCCTGCTGTGCGCGCGCGCCCCGCAGCTCCGCAACGGGGGCCCCCCGCAGCTCCGCTCGGTGCGCCCGCCTCCTGGGCGCCCCGCCCGCGCGCGCCGGCGCTCGCTGCGCCCCGAGGGGCGGGCCCGGCTGGCGCTCTGCCCCGTGCGCCCGCTCGTGGGCGCCCCCCCGACGCGCGCGGTCGTGGGCGCCCCGCGCCCCGGGCGGCTCCGCCGAGGCTCCGCCCGGCGCCGCCCGGTGGGTGCCCCGCCGTGGACGCCTCGCAGGCGCTCGCGGGCGCCCCGTCCCCCTGGATGGTGGACGCGCCGGCGGTGTGATCGGGTCCTGCCCGCGGGCGCCTCGTGGGGGCGCCCGTGCCCCTGTTTGAACAGGGACCGACCGTCCCGGCATTCCTGGAGTCATACCACGACATGTTCTTAGAACCCAAAAATGTTCTAAGAACAAAAACAATGTTCTTATAACATAAACCTGATGTGTGAAAACAAGACAGTCCCAGCCAGAAATGTTCTAAGACAATTTCGTGGGAACCACAAAAAGCTCTTAGAACATTGTTTGGTGGGGCTATAGGCGAGCCGGGACGTTTCGCCTTTGCTTGACTTCTTGGGTCCACAGAGGTTTCGCCCGGCGCCCGCCTGCGGGAGCCTCGGGAGCGTCCCCGTGCGGGTGACTAGCGCGGCTTGTGCCATGCAGTAACACAGCAGAGCCTTCACCGCGCAGCTTGCACAGCAAGGCTTTCACCACAGATCGAACGCATGAGAAGCGCCCCCCGCCCCCACATGAGGAACTGTAGACAAGTTGGACCGTCAAGCGACGTGACAACTGCAAGCGGGAGCTGCTCGACGGTCAGCCAACGGCAACGTCGCGCAAGCCAAATGGGAGCGGCGCGTTGCTGCTATGCCCATCGGCGTATGCACATGGCGTTGCGTTGTGCGGACACGCGATAGATGCTCAGTGTCAGTGTGGATCTCGCGCGCCCGCGCCTTGGCAGAAACTCAAGGGCGCGTCGGACCTAGGCGGCGCTGGCAGCGGCCCTGGACGGCGCCTGGTGCCCTCCCCGCACGGGCGCGCATCGGAAAACTTCTATCCACCCCAAAAACAAAGACTAAGCACCAAACGAACACCTCGTATGTGAATTCAATGATGCAACACTTATCTCAACTTCTCCGAAGCAGGGAGTCTCGGGCGGGAGAACCCACAACAAATCCCACCAGCCTTCTGGGCGTCGGTGGTTTAGGGAGTTTCCTCTTCCACCCCTCCTTCTTCCCCTTCGGAGAGGGGTTTACCCCTCCCCCTACCCCCTCCCCATGGACCTGGACCAAGGGTTTCGCGAGTCGTCGGAGCGTCCAAAACGGCCTCGGCGAGGAAGCCAAAATCATTTGTTTTACTTTGGTTTTGGCCCCATTTTGGCTTCCTGGGGGGGGACGCAAATTAGTGCTCCCCTCTTGTTTGATCGATCTCCTCCAAGATGGCCCCAAGAAGCGCCCAGGAGGCCCCAAGAGGCCCCAGGATGGCCCCAAGATGGCCCCAAGAGGCTCCCAAGAGGCCCCCAGAAGGCTCCCAAGAGACCCCCTAAGAGGCCCCAAGAGGCACCTAAGATGCTCCAAGAGGCCTCGGCGAGAATGCCAAATCATTGATGTTACAAAGGTTTTAGCCACATGTTGGCCTCTTAGGGGGGGCACTGATTAAGATGACTCCAAGAGCGCATGGGAGAGCCACAAATGACCTCCAAGATGGCTCAAGAGATCCCAAAAAGTGTCATAATGGCTTCCTCTGTGTGCTGCCTACTTCCCTGATCGAGGCAATGCCTCTGGGCATCGTTTCTGGATGGGCTGGTGGAGATTCGCGAAGCGTCAGAAACTGTATTAGCCTGGCGAAGAACCCAACCATATGCAGCTGTGAATACCGCATCCGTGAGTGTCGTCTTCGGCGGGGTTCCCTACGGGGCCACGAACGCTTCACTGGGTGGGGGGTTCGCGTGCGAACATGGCCAGTGGGGCCATCGGTGGAGCTCTCTACGGGGCCACGAACTGTTGTACTGGGTGGGACGCATGCGACACACAGCCACTGCATAGCTGGCACAACATCACTTACACAACCACCAAACTTACACAACATGGCTCAACCGCGTTGCTTACAGCACATCTAACACCGCATAGCTGACTCTGCCAAGCTCCCACCTCCTCAATGCAATAATTTACTGTTTGGAGTCGATGTTGGTTAACATTGTAACCGTTGGTGTTGGACATTTCCCATGCTGACATGACCCAATGCGTTTAGACTTACACGGACAATACTCTGAAACCAGAGTAGTCAATATTCCAAACTTCGACTGGTACGACCATAGACACGTACGTGCGCATACAGGCAAAATTGCAAGTGGCTGCTGAACCCGAGGAATGGCCAACATGCGAGAGAAACGAAGTAAAGAATTCGCGGAAGACGATTGCGGAGAGTTTCACGGCACGAGATATTGATGAGTGCGCACGTCGGACAAGAAATTCGCAGACCGGCGCGCCAAAGAAGTATGTCAGCAGCTCGCTCTTGACCAGATCTTGAAAAAACAACTGCGGAGATAGCGAATGACATAATGTGTCCCAGAGAAGGATTGGGGCAGCACGGTGCAACCAAACACACACGACGGATAGGGAAGAAGCAGGATGAGAGGTAACGACAGGAAGACACAGACAACTACATGTAGACAGAGACGTCCAAGAGAATGGAGCCATCGAGTGCAAGGGGAAGGGGGAGAGAGAGAGAGAGAGAGTGAAAGAGAGAGAGAGAGAGAGAGCTACGACATAGAGACAGAGATAGAGATAGGGAGTAAGAAAGAAAGACACAGACAGACAGACAGGCAGACAAACAGACAACAGACAGACAGACAGACAGGCAGGCAGGAAGGCAGACAGACAGACAGTTCGAATGCAGATGGGAGACAGCGGCTGCGCGAGAAAAAAACAAACACCTGTTCGCCATGAACGCGGTATGGGTAAACACTGGTTGAGCTCATGAGGCCCAACATGCAAAAAGACCAGCTGACAGTCAGATAGGTGTGGGCACCGATGCACATGCTACAACAATCAAATGGTTTGCCCATTTGGTTGCATGCAACAGTTGTTTACGACGCCATCACCACATTATACAATGCGGATGCATGTGTTCGCTGACGAGCAATCGTGCGAGCCACTTGCCAAATCCAGATAGCCAGATAGCGGTTCACCAACATGCACTATCGCCAAAATAACTATCACCAACTCCAGTATGTCGCATCAAAGGCATTTGAGGCGACCCCTCGCCAAACGTTCGTGTGCGGCAATGAAGAACTTGACAATCTGACAACCCCAATCTGAACATTGGCTAAACCACGAGAAGCACCGTGCAAGTAGTTAGCCAAGGGTGACTCACACGTGCTCGGCACACTAGAACAACAATGACCAACCTACACTCTGAAACGACTGAATGCACACGCACGCGGACCACACGGAACACGACTTGCGCCGTGCAACGCGCTAGAACCGCAGAAGGCTGCCAGCACGCCCTGAAAGGTGCTGACTTACGCCAGCAAGGTGAGGCGAACCGATGCGTCGCCACCAGGAGCTCGCTGGCACCCTTGGGGGCGCCAGGCTGTACACCGAACTGCTCGTCCTGCCGCTTGTCCTATTACCGATAAGGGTGTTGCTCACCCCTCAACGCGCTGCGTCAATATGCCCAGGATTCCAATTGGAACACCTTTGAGGAGTGATGAGGGCACGAGGGGCTTCCAGAAAAGCACCGAGCTGACCCGAAGAGGACCTCAAGAGGACAAACTTGCCTCAGATAATCGCAGCGTGATGTTTCAGATGGGACCATATAAAGTCCAAGCAACACCCACGGTAAGAAGAAGCAACAGCAACAGGCACAACATCGAAAAACACGATGCCCGCGGGCCACAACGATTGCTCGAGATGGTCCCAAGGGTGGACCGAAAAGTCCCCAGGATGCCGCCGATATCGTCAAGGACGGCCTCACGAGGCCCAACCCGGCCCCCAAGAAGCCTGCAAGACAGCCAACCAGGCTGTGGCTCTAAGTGGTGCTCCTCATTCTAGAGCCCTGAATGCACTTGAGGACCCCCCTCCTCCCCCTCCCCCTCCCCCTCCCCCTGCCCCTCCTCGTCGTCCTCCTCCTCCCCCAGATAGCCCCAATATTGCCCAAGGTGGTCCGAAGTTGGCCCAAAGATGGTCCCGCGAAGCCCCACGATGGCCCAACAAGGTCCCAAGAGAGCTCGGCACAACGCCCAAAGGCAGCCGCAGTGTGGCAAAGCCCGGGGTAGAGGCGGCATGGGGCGCTTCCCCTCGGATTGCCTACGAATGCATCGCGTGTCTATGTCAAGATCGCGCAGTCGGAATCGATCCGCCCTCCTCCTCCTCTCCGTCGTCCTCCCTGCTCCCCTGCAGTAGCCAAAGGTGGCGGCAGAACGCCAGAACGACAGCCAGTCATCGTGCTACCATAGGGAACGCATCATAAGGAACGAAGGCGCTTTTCTGGCAATGGCGGGCCTGGGCCACAAACAGGTTCCACGACATCAATACAAGGAGCGGCCCAGAATCCGAGACCCACCTGAGCACAAATCGGTCCTTGAAGAGTCTTGATTGTACTTGGAGATGCAAAGCTAGATGGAACGCAATCGGTAAATATGCGAGTGGCGGCGTACCCATGTCTTACCCAGTCCCGTAGCATGATCGTGGCATCCTCGAAACGGTCTCCCACGAATGTGAGCTGAAAAGAAGCGGCAAGGGCATCACGCGCAGACCGCAATCGTCATCTTGTTGAAGCCATGCCGCTCCTCGATGACAAAATTCGAATACAACTGCATGGGGATGTTCACCGGCTTGTCCGCCTCAGCGACTCGAGGGCAGTCATCGCTGGCTGACTTGGAGCAGCTCCCGACTGCTCCGCTGGACATGCCACGAACACAGAGGGACAGCCACTCCGAGGGCGGGACGCCCATGCTCAAACAAGACTTGCGCGTTTAAAAACGTACTCTCGGACTTCGGCACCGCTGATTGTGACTACCTACCAGACCACCCCAACCCAACCCGAAGACCCGAATTTCGGGTTCGGGGGGGGAAGGGTTCCACATGTGTTTTTTCTATGTTTCCATACCCCCCACCACTGGAAATCGAGCGTAAATCTGAGCCTTCGGGTTGGGTTGGGGTGGATTGGTGGGTGGTGAGATTGCCTTCTCACAACATCGTCTGAGTACGCAGAAAACTGGTACCCCGCAGGGCGTAGCTGGCGGGCCAGAGGAAGGAAGGAAGGGCGAAGGATGGAAGAGGGAGGAGCCAGGAGGAGGGAACATTCTTCCCCTCCTCTTCGAGCCTCCGGTCATAGAATGGACAAGTGTTAGGTCGGGCATGTCCTCCTTCCGGCGGATTCTGGAATGACAGCAACACATAGTCAAAACCAATCCAAACGGGTCAAGAGAGCACGGAACGTCGTCCTCACACCGTTTTTGCTGACTATGGCTTTGAACACTCCCCCTCCGGAGGGGCATGCCCGACTGATGGCTACTCTTCCCCTCCCCCCCCCTCCTCGAGGCGGAAACGACGTCCTGCAGGTGGCAGATTGCCAGTGGGACCCGCGTCTCGCGCGGCGGCCGCCCCCCCCCCCCCCCCTGGGCGCCGAGAGGCGCGCGCCGCGGATCGGGGATCGCTGCGTGGCGTCGCGCGGCGGCGGGAGGAGGAAGGTTAGGAGGCAACTGCTGGGAGGCCTTCGTCGGAAGGGTTCAGGAAGATTCAGCTCGATGGGGGGGCCGTTTCGCCGGATGAGGCCACGGAGCAAGATGGAGCAAGCCGGATTAAGCGGGATCAAGCCGGATTGAGCGGGGTTCAGCCGGATTCGGCCGGACTTCGCACGGGGGCAAGATCAGAATTTGATCTCCGAGAAGTTGGATCGGAAGGAAGGGGATGCAGGGAACCATCAGGTCACGCAAAGAGCTTGGTGCCCGGGCCTCTCGGGGGTCGCTGCCTCCCGGCGGGCACGCGTGCGTTCTGCTGCTGCTGCTGCTGCTGCTGCTGGTGATCTTCTGTGTCCAGAGGAGCCGGTATACAGTCGGGGCGTTGACCTAAGGAACGCTAAATAAGGAACGAGGCCCCTTTTTCCCACAAGTTCAACCTCGATCTCCTAGGGAAAACCTTCGGAATACCCGGGGCAAACTTTGAAACAATTGAGGAACACCGAGCCCCTCCCCAACGAAAAGGGGTTCCTTCCTCAAGACCCCTACGGTACGCCGTCGTCCCCCGCCCGCCGCCCCGCCGTCCTCGCCGCTCTCGCTGTCGTCGTCGGCGTCGTCGTCGGCGGCTCTCGGCTGGCGCTCGCTCGTGCTGTGCTCTCTCGGGGGCCGCGGCGGAGGGAGGCCGGGGCAGCTGCGGCGGGAGGGCTGGGAGGTCGGGGAAGGTGGGGAGTACAGTCGGGGCGTTGACCTAAGGAACCCTAAACAAGGAACGAGGCCCCTATTTTCCATGAGTTAAACTTCGGTTTCGTATCGAAAACCTAATGAAAACCTAAGGCAAGCTGCGAAACAATTGAGGAACAAGGAGCCCCTCCCCAACGAAAAGGGTTCCTTCTTCAGGGCCCCGGCTGTAGGGGAGGGGAAGAGGGGCGGAGGAGAGGGGAGGAGGAAGCTACGGCAGGTGCGTGTCGTGACGACGTCGGCGTGGAACCATCATCGATCGCGGCCTACCGATTGCGATGATCGTTCGATGCGCGCCGATTCTGAGCGGCTGGCACGTTCAACCTTGAACGCCCAAGCTGAGGGTGCCGCCGCGTCAACACGAAACAGGGAACCGTGGGAGAATGGAGAGATGAGGGGGAAAGCGAGGAGGGCAAGATGATCACCAACAAAACCTGCCTGCCCCCCTGGGACCCTCAGCCTGTGCTCGCGCTGCTGAGCTGATGGCTTGCTTGCTTACTGTCGTCGTTATCCCTCTAGTGTTTCCTCCTCTCTTTTGCATAATTTCTCCGCAGTTCCCTCCACCGCGTGACTCTCATGCCTACCTGCGTATTGCCACCCTTCCCCGTTCGCCCCTCACCATGGGACTGTGGGGGGGAACAACTTGGGCTAGAAAACGGCAAATGAAAACAACCTGTCTCCAACATCCGCTGGCGGACGACACACCAAAACAAACCGTCTTTGCCCCAGCGGCATTCCCTCCGCAAACCAAGCCCCCGCTGATGCAAGGTGCGCTGGGGACGGCGACACCGACAACGAAGACGACGACGACGCCGATGCCGCCGACGACGACGACGATCTAGACGATCCCGGCGAGGACGACGATGAAGATGGTAACGACGCGCTCCAGGCACCTAAAAGACGCACCGTTACATTTTCCTCCTCTCGCTCGTACTCCTCCTCCTCCACCTCCTCCCCCTCCTCCTCCTCCTCCTCCTCCTCCTTCTCCTCCTCCTCCTCCTCCTCCTCCTCCTCCTACCGCTCCTCATTCTTCGGAAATCCGCGCGGACTTCTTGGATCGGCGCCGGACCTCCCTCCCTGGCGCGCGAAGCGCGCCGGGGGCGGTGCCAGAGGCGCCACCAGAGGGCCCCGCGCAGAGCCGAGAGGTCCGCGCGAAGCTCCGACGTACAGGTTGTCTCGTCGTCGTCGCTCCTTCGCCGAGGCTAGAGTTAAAGTTAAAGACGGGGCCTTCAAGGCACAGGGAAGGAGGAAAACGGGGACAGGGCCAGGCGGCACCAAAGTTCCCGAGAGACGCCGAGTCCCAAGCAAAGCGAGCCACGCTGCCTACTCACAAGGGAGCAACAGGCGCTGGCGGAGAGGCGGGAAGGCCTTCAATCACTCTCCGACTCCGAGCCGCGGCGCGCCAGGCGGCGACGGACCCTACGGCTCACCAGGCCGCCGCCAGGCGCGGCGCCCGCGGCTGCGCGCTCCTCCTCGGCGGTCTCACTCGCGCCGAGGGCGCCAGTGCTCGGGCCTGGCCGCTGCTGGGGCAGGCTGGCAGCCGCCGCCTCCACTGCCTGCGCTGCCGCTGGAGCCGCTGGGCCGCTGCCAGGGCCGCTGGCCGCGGCAGAGGCTCCGCCTGCAGGCTCCGCCTCCATGCCGAGCCACTCCAGGTAGCGCTCCTGGGCGTGTCCTGGCACTGGCCTTTGCGAGCGCAAGGCAGGGATGCCCTCTGCTCTCACTCTCTGCTTGTCCGCCCGAGGCCTGCCTCCAGGATGGAGCCCTGGCCCCCGCAGGCTGCGCTGGTTCTTGCCTGACTTATTGGTCAGGTAGCTGGGCCCTGGGCACTGCACCTTCAGACGAGACTTGCCTCCCGCGTGGCTGCCCAGCACCCTTGTAGGCGCCGCGCTTGGAGCACGCCACGATCTCCCGGGTGCCCTCACCTTCGCCCGCGCAGGCATAGCCGAGCACGCGCCCCAGGGCGCTGAAGGCGACAGCGGTGGCCGAGAGGGCGGCCGTGCTGCTCCCCGTCGAGCGGCCGTCCTCCAGGCGTGGCCGCGTGGCTGGAGCGCCGCCGCCGAGGGCCTCACCAGCCTGCGGGGGCCCCGCTGCCGCAGCGGCCTGCGCCTGGCCGATCCCGCCAGCAGGAGGGGGCCCCTCGCTGCTCAAGGCCGAGCCATCGAAGTACTGCTTGCCGTTGTGCCTGCCAACAACAACTGGCTGTTGAAGCCTCCAGATACGCATCGTCCCGAGTGCGTTGGGCATGGAGGCGCCTCGCGCGTGCCGCGCCTTCACGTGCCGCTCGATTCCAGGACCAAGCCGCTGCCCGACGGCGCCCCCGAACAACAGCCGAAGCAAGAGGGGGCTGCAGTAGAGGTTCCGCCTCTCATGGCGGTTGAAGGCCTGCAGAGCACGCGAGCTTGCAACTGAGCTCATCGCCCGAAGCTCGAGGAACATGGGAACGAGCTCGTCACCGTGGTCCACGACCATGCTCCACTCCGGCTCGAGGCACCAGTCGAAGCTCCCCTGGGCCCGCGCCGCCGCGTCGACGGGCGAGGCGCAGCGCGCCCCAGTGGCGGCCATAGCGCACCTGGCTGCTGCCGCCTCCAGTCCCTGAGCATGAGCCCCGGGTGGCCGCGCGGCTGGCTGCTGCGGATCCGCAACCCTGGCCAACGTCTCGGGATGCCCAGGTGCGCCTGCTCTGCCCATGGGGTCGCTCCACTCGCTAGCGCCGAACTCGAGGGCCCCAACCGCGTTCTTCTCAGCGGCCAGGAGGAAGAGGACACAGCTGGGCCCTGCAGCGTAGGTACCTGGGCGGGTCGATGCCGCCTATGCCGTGGAACTCCACCAAGTCGCTCTCGACGACCTCGGCGCAGCCGCACTCGTGCAGGCGCAGGCCCGCCGCACAGGTCTCGCTAGGCACTCGCTGGCCCTGGCTGCGCCCCTCCGACGCGGCCCCCAGCGGCCCTGCCAGTAGGACGAGAAGCCAGAGGAGCCAGGTCCGCTGCCTCTGCAGCCAGCTCCCGCTTGCATGCCTGGGCCACCGTCGGCCACTCGCCCAGCGCTTTGCCGCACCGCTCGGGTTGGCCTCGCTCCGCGGCTGGCTGAGGCTGCCAGGGGCCGACGCCGTCAGCGAGATCGCCGTCGTCGCTGCTGATCTCCTCCATGGGGCAGGACTCAGCCCACGGCGCACGCTTGGGGGCCACTGGGGCCCCCTCGAGCTGCGCCCGCACGGCCTCCATCTGGGCGCGAATGGCTGCCCGCGCCACCTCGAAGTTGCTGGAGCCCCAGGGCTCTGGCAACTTCTCCAGCTGCATGAGGAGCCCTGGCGCCTTGCTGGCTCCTGTCCACTCGGCTGCGCGTTGGCGGCGCAGCGCCACCGCCTCCTCGCGGGCTGCCTCCTCGAGCACCTGGAGCGCACGGCTCGCCTCCTCAACCTCCGCGTCGAGCTCCGCAAGCTCCTCCTGGGCCTTCTGGAGCTGGGTCTCGACGAGGTCGCGTGCCTCCTGCTTCTGATCGAGCTCCAGGCGGGCTGCCCGGAGCCGCTTTTCACCCTTGCTGATGGCGTTCGCCTCCCTGTGGAGCCGCGTCGCCCGTGGCAGGGAGGAGGCCTTCTGCTCCGCTGCCGCCTCTTGGGCCCTGACCAGCTCGGCGCGCTTCGCCTCCAGCTGGCTGGTTACGACGTCGGTGAAGCAGCCGTCCACTCCGTCAGGCGGCTCGGCCTGCAGCGCCTCGAGCTGCTCGACTGTCGCCTGGAGCCTCTCGATCGCCGTGGCGCCTCCACCGCTGGGCGTCCCACTCGCTGCCGACGCCGAGGTCTGCGACTTGGTGGAGGCTGCCCGCGAGGCCGCGCCGCGGGCCTGCATCTGGGCACGGCGCCCACGTAGCTTATCCACCCAGCCGTACTTGTCTGCCTTGGGCCTCGCCTTGGCTGGGGACGTTCCCATCGCCCAAGGCGGGGCCGCATACCCACAGCCGAGGCACGAGGCGCGCCAATCCCAGTTCCATCCTCCGCAGCTGCACATCCAGTAGGTTTTGCTGCGCCTGCTGCTGCCACCGCCGCGCGGGGACCTCGCCATGGCCACTGCCGCGCTGGCCGAGGGGCTGCGCCTCCGCGCCGCGAAAGCAGGGAGCTGAAACACGAAGTGCACTGGCCCAAAGCGCGGAGACCCTCGCGCTCAGAGCGCCGCGAACGACTCGCTGTCGTCGGGTTCTCCATGGCGTTGAACCAACATGGCTACGGACCTTCGCCGAGGCTCCCCCTCCATCAGGGGTGTTCTGCCACCGCTGACGGCGGCTCCTTCCCACGACCGAGGGCCCCGACAGCCTCCTCCTCCTCCTCCTCCTCCTCGACCTCGTCCTCTTCCTTTTTCTTCGCCCTCCTCCTCTCCCTCCCCCGTCTCCCACCCTCCTCCTCCTCCTCCTCCTCCTCCTCCTCCTCCTCTCCTCCCTCCCTCCTCCTCCTCCTCCTCCTCCTCCTCCTCCTCCTCCTCCTCCTCCTCCTCCTCCTCCTCCTCCTCCTCCTCCTCTCCCTCCCCCGTCTCCCGCCCTCCTCCTCCTCCTCCTCATCCTCCTCCTCCTCATCCTCTCCTCTCGTCCTCCTCCTCGTCCCTCTTCTCCCTCCTACCACTACACACTCTTATCCTCCAACTCTGCTCCTCCCAACTTCCTCCTCCAGGTCCCCACCCGCCCTCCACCCCATCCTGCCCCCATCCTCGCGCGAGATGGCGGCCCACCCACTGCTGCAGGAAAAGCCAGCACAACGTCACCTTATACTCGGCGTCCTGGTGCAGGCCGGGAGGCGAAGCCGAAGCACCCATCCACGACATCCTCTATTCGCGATCCCCGCCCTCCTAGCAAAGATAACAAAAAACGGCAGAAGCGTAAACTTCCGGAACTCCGCGCGGATTCCTTGGATCGGCGCTCGACCCCCATCACTGCTGCGCGGAGACTTCGCAAAAGGGGGGGCGGCGAGGATCGAAGAGATCCGCGCGCGCGCGGAGCTCCAAAAGTCTATGACGGTGCAATGGTACCACGCCTCGATCCCCCCACCCTAGAGGCCGCCCAACTGGGGTCCGAGCAAGCGGGGCCAGCGGATCTCGCCCGAATCGCCAATGCATCGCCGATTCATCGGCGACGCGTCTGCGACGTCGGCGATGCAGCGGCGCCGTCGGCGTGGAGAAACTCGGGATGCTCATCGGCCCGTATCGCCGATGCGTCGGCGATGCGGCGCGAGGTCCTCTGACCACATCTGCTCGGACCCCACTTCGGAGGCCTCCCGTGGGGGGTGCTGAGGGTCAGGAGAGTCGTCCTCGAGGAGCCCCAGACAGCGCCTGCACTGACATCACGGGCCCAAGCGGTGGACGAAAGGCACACCCGAGGCTGGCAGGTCAGGAGGAGTAGGAGAGTGGCCCTCAAGGAGCCCCAATCGGCCCCTGAACTGCCACCCACCACGGGCCCAAACGGTGGACGAACGCCACATGTTTTGTTCTGAAGGGGCCCTGGGACACACAAATAAATACACGCAGATCACAGGATTTCCAATATTTTCCTGTATCTTCTGGCTGCTTGCCTTCCCCCCACTTCCCACATTTTCCTATACTTTCTGGGGAATCGTCGATTCATTGTGTCTGCGTGTTTTGTTCCCCTCCTGATCTTCCACCCAGCTCGCTGACGAACACCCGAGGCCTGCAGGAGGCTGGCACATCTGGCGAGCAGGGCCAGCCCTGCGAGGGCAGCGCAGGCGGGCTGGGGCCCACAGAGAGCTCATTGCCTGGCGCTGGAGAGACTCACTTCTGAGTTTTGGACGCCCGAAATGGGCACGGAAAGAATGGGTGCAATGCCCAACAGCAAATGTTGTCCCAAACCAACAGCGGCCGCTGTTGGGCAGGCGGCCTCCTGTCTCAAATGGACACCACAGGCCGCGGCGGCGCGGACAGCGAGTCCTGTTCGAAATGAACGGGAGCTGCTGTTGGGCATTGTGCCCACTCCTTCCGTACCCATTTCGCTCGTGCAGATGAGCGGTACAAGGCGATGCCAGGACGAGGAACACATCGGGTGAATATCAATCAATCGGCGGTGGACAAACCTCCCTTCAAGAGACCTCCCCTCAGTGAAAACGGCCTGGGACCGAAACCGACGGACCTGGACCCGGAAAAATGACGGCCGCGACGCCCTCTCGCGAACCGAAAACGGCCAATTCCTTAGTCGACGTGTCAGGGTAGGAGGTCTGTCCACCCCCGAATCAAGCACCTCTGAGAGCCAGCGGCTCTGGAGGACGCCTCCGGCTCGGCGCGGCTGTCTCAGAGCGTTCCGGAACGCGCTGGAACGGCTTCATCCTCGTCCTGGCCCCGCCCGACGGTGGGGGCGGGAGCAGGATGCGGGCAATACTTCTGTCAATGTCCACTGCGATATGGAGTTTCGGGTTCCCTTCCCCAGAAACCAGAGGCGCGCTGGATATGGAATGGATAAGTTTGCCCCCTAGAGGGGCTCGATTTTTATCCATATCCAGTGCGCCTCGGCCTTGTGACGCTCCTTCCCAACAAATCCAAGACGCACTGGATATTGATACGAACCTTGCCCGCACAGGAGAGGTGGGAGCCGGAGTCGTGCGGGAAACGTATTCGGAGACATGCAGCCGTGTCTCAAGTCGGGCCTGTCCCCCTACAGGGGATTGTCGACGAAAAATTAAGAATACCCCCAAAATAGCAGAAAAATGCTCCAAAAATCGTCCCCAGACTATGTTTTGACTAACTGTTGACCTTTTTGGCGTAGTTGTTGGGGTTCGTTTCTACATTTGTTTTTTTGAAAATCCCCCTGTAGGGGGACACGCCCGACATGGGTCTAGAGGAGGCGTGGGGTCGCAGGCTCGAAGAGAGCGGAAAGGGGACGAGGGAGGAGCGGGAAGCCCCGCTGGGCTCTGTGGCACCTCACGGGAGCCTCCCATACCATCTTGTTGGCTCTTGAGTCCTCCTCCTCCTCCTCCTTCTCCTCCTCCTCCTCCTCCTCCTCCTCCTCCTCCTCCTCCCCCTCCTCCTCCTCAGCATCGGCGCTCTCGTCGCTTCTAGATCGACGCTGGCCGACGCTACTCGACGCACAACCGGCGCTGTCTCATCGCCTCCCATACGCCAGTCGACGCTACAGACGGCATTACGAGGGTAGACCAGGCTCCCGTGATTTGCTACCGACGCCAGGGGTGCAGCAGGAGGCTGGCAAGTCTCGGGGGCGAGAGCACTCGCAGGCGAAATCGGCATCGCTCGTTCGACAGGGCCAGGGGCAGACCTGCTTGCGGAGGCGCGCGCCCGACGCCAGGGGTCGGCACCAGCACCGCTGCAGCACGCCCCAATGCAGTCGGGCTTCTACTGACCGGGGTCAATGCAATCCTATGTCAGCCAAGCTTTGAAGGACCCTGGAAAATCCTGTAAGATCCTGCGCCCTAACGTTGGTCAGTGCGCCCAAGGCTCTGCAGAATCCTGCAAGACCCGGCGCTCTGGCTGACCCCCGTTTGCATTAACCCCATCACAAGGCACCACATGCAGGATAGCAGCTGAGAACAGCTCACCAGGGGAATCAACAAACAGATAAAATAACAGTCATCACGATGATGGTGCTGATGATTAGGGTGATAATGATGACGACGACGATAGTAACGATGATGATAATGGTGGTGGTGATGATGATACTGTTGAAGATGATGAAGATGAAGATGATGATGATGATGATGATGATAATGATAATGATGATGATGATGATGATGATGATGATGATGATGATGACGACGCTGATGAGCCTGATATCACCAACGGGAAACTCAAAAACCTGTGGCCAACCTCACGCTAGTACCAAAAATACCTGCGGTCAGATGGTTTACTATACTCAGGACACCGACCGTTATGCTGTTACTTGACAGGCAGTTGGGCAACGTCGTAGTGGACCAGCGTAAGAAGCAGCTGCAACAGCGTACCTTGTGACAGTTCGTGCATCGACTTGGACATTCAGTCATTCGCCTCGTCTTCATAATTCTAATGCTGGCACGAATATCGAATCACGGCAAGCTCGGGCTCTGCCACGCCAGCGAGGACAGTGCAAAAGCGTACGAATTCACGCAGCAGATACTCGTCATCGAGGCGTTCCAGAAACACGCTGTGCCTGCGCTCCACACTGCGTAGCTCGCGCGCCACTTACGGTCGATTCGCCATCGCATACAGCTCGGCGACGCCATGGGGCTCACCCAACACGTCACCCGGTCGCTCCCGGCAATGGCGAAATGAGCACCACTTGCTTTCGCAATTACGTTGGAGGATTGCTTGCAGCCCATCTGGGACGAGTGCCAACGCCTCAGATTGGGAATGCATTTCCCAGTGCCGGCCCCGTGGGAAAGTATAGTGTTGTGCTTATGCTTGGTTCTTCGTGCCGATCCTCGTCTTGAGCGACAGCATACAAATACTCAATTATTACTCTGGACTTCAGCGGCACGAGTCCGCGACATCGTCACCCTCCTGCAGGACAAGACTTCAGACCTACGAGTGGGCCCTCCCAGTGACGGAGGCGACGTGGTTCTCGCAGAACCCATAGGAACAGCAAGGCGACTGGCCAGAAGCGCAGCTCGTGCAGCAGTCGGACCCCCTGCGGATCCTGGGCCCAAGGTGTGCACGTGCATGCTTTCGGCAATCTCACGCGGGACATCCGGATTAAGTCGCTTGGCGTCCACACCCACACTGCAGCATGGCAGGCCCGCCACTTATTGTCTGGGCGGATAAAGTTCGGAGGCTCCGGCTGGTCTCCCGAACTAGCTGTAGTAGCGCGCTGTGGACACCAGGACTGTGCACCTTCGGCCAAGAGCAACTGGAGATGCTCAGGGGAGCCTAAAACAAACAGCTGCGACGTGTCTATCGGCTGTCGCGAGAGCTCGGCGACACGGACAAACGATACGAGCGTCGACTGAGGAGGGACCTCTGCGTGTCCAAAGACAGACTGCGCATCCGGAATCTCGATGTGCAGGCCTCGCGCCAGCAGTTTCGGTTCCTGGGCCACGCTGCTCGGCAGGCCACGCGGGAACCCCACGCTCTGTTGAGCAGGGCGCCAATGTGGAACAGGCACGCTGAAGGCCTCACGAACGTAAAGATGCAAAATAAATTTCAGAGGCTTGAGCACGCTGGCAATTCCTGCCCTTGGGCCATATTTACATAGCCGTCCAAACATTTCGGGTATCAAGTAATTGTATTCAGATTTGATAAACAAATATTGCGCAGAACCGCACCCAGTGAAACGTTGGGAATCGCAGGATATACATTCAGACTTGGAGAGTTCGGGAACAGCGCTTGCCTAGGCTAAGCCTGGCTGCGGGCTTGGGGTTGCTCGAGGCCCGCTTCGTGCAAAGCAGGCAACAACGACATCATATTCATCATCAACACCAACACCATCCTCATCATCACCATCGTCATCATCAGATTCACCACCATCATCACTATCAACATCAACATCATCAACATCATCATAATCATTATCACACGCAACACCGTCCCCATCCCCCCCATCATCAACCGCAGAACCTACATCTACATCATCAACATCATCCTCGCCATCACCAACAACATCCACCATCACGATCATCATCATCATCATCATCATCGTCATTAGCATCAGCATCATTATCGCCATCATCATCATCAGCATCATTATCCGACACACCACAACCATCTTCATCACCAGTATCATTACAGTCATCATGACCACCAATCGCATCATCATACGTATCATCAACTTCATCAATATCAACATCACCATCATCACCATCACGGTCATCATCACCATCACCATCAACACCATCATCATCAACAAAAGCATCATCATTATCAACATCACCACCATCATTATCATCATCGGCGTCATCCTCATCATCATCATTGCCACCATCGCCATCATCTTAATCGCCATCACCAACAACAACACCTACACCATCTAAGAAAAGCTCAGCCGGGGAATATCACTGAACATGAATCCCCCGTCGCTGGGGCAACTCTCGATACCGACAACGCCCACGAGCAAGCCAGAAACGCAATGTATCAATCATTGCCCATGGCGCTGCTGCGTGACATGTCCCCTCGGGTGTCCCGCCATCATCGTGATACACTATCCGACACGAGGGCGAGCTTGGCACGTCGCTTTCGCACGAGGTCTTTGGTTCGGGGCCGGGAAAAGCCCGCCGGCCACTTATCTTCGTTACGCGTTCATGCGACGCGTACCGAAACTCGGGTGGGCCCTGGCAAACATGACCGTTGTTATACATGGCGAAAGCGTGATGCGTGCGCGTACGTGCAGTTCAAGAACATTCATATTACAATTGGCAATTTATCTTCGCTTGCAACATCGATGGGTGAAGCGTATGCTGCGGCATGTTGCGGCACCTGGTTGACCTCATGCGGACCAACGTTCCAGCAACCTATCCGTGCACGATGCTTCCACATGGTGGGATATTCGATGTTCGCATCACTGTCCAGCTTCTGCAATACCATACGCTACTTGTGCCTTGTTGCATACCTCCAGTGAGCCAACCCAGCATCTCAAGTTTGCCCCTGGAAGGCGCATCATCATGCAAGTTCGCGCGGGCAGATGCGAGTGTGCAGATTTGCACAATAGCTGTGCTGAGGAGTCCCGCTCACTTCTTGCCAGCGGGCGCCACGAGTCATCAGTGGACAGGGAAAGGAACAACCTGGTCGCTTCTCAAGTCGGATCGGCCTCGCCCAGCTCCAGGAGCCCCTCGAGGGGGGCAGGGGCCTGCCCTCCCCCCCCCGGGGAAGGGAAGCTCTCCGGACGTCTGCGCTCCCCTGCGGGCAACTTGAGGGCCTGGGCTGACGACGCAAGCAGGCGCGACAGCTTCTTCGGCGGCAGCTCTCAGGAGCCTCCCAGGCCATCTTGTCGGCTCTTGCGAAACGGCGCTTGCCGACGCTAATCGACGCTAACAGACGCCACATCGGCGCTACCGCATCGACTCCCAAACGCTCATCGACGCTAGGCGGCGCTGAAGACGGAATTGAGAGGGGAGCACCATGCTCCCATGATGTGTTACCGAACAATTCATGCCGCGACGACCTCGGCGCTGGCTTCTGGCACCGCGTGGGCTGCTCAGCCTTGGAACTGCAATCGGCCTTCCGATCGCGAGATGGTTCCAGATCAGCCGACGCCCCCGCGTCGCCAAGACGCGGACCTGCGTACATACGTACACTTTCGGAGATCCTCGCACAATTCTCGGATCGGCACCAGGCCTCCGGCGCGTGGAGCGCGCCAGAGGCGGCGCCTGAGGCGCCACACGGGAGGGCATAACGAGGATCCGAGAAAAACGCACAGACCTCCGAACATGTGTGTACACGCCGCACCGACTGTTCTGTCTCCCGATGGGAAGTCCAGACAACCTGATTCCAAAAGCAGTGCTTGCACCCAAAAGTTTACAGTTCATTGACGTAAGGAGCTCGATGTATGTTGCGCTCATCGCACTTACAGGCCACATTCCAGAAGTCATTTCGAGCACCTGGAAAAGTGTCGAAAGAGCGTCGAAGCAGTGTCAAAACAGTGTCTTCCACGGCCCGACACGTGAAAACCCTTGAGTTTGCGGTGCTTCTTTCTGGTACTCGAAATTCTTCATGGCGAACAAGGCTAAAGCAGGTTGGAACATCTTGGAGCTCGCTGGGCTTCCTGGGCTTCCGCAACGTTGCAGCTCGTGCCGTCTCAAGGGCACCTCGCGCGCCGGGCGGGTCTCCCGAGGTGCCGCCACGTGGCCGCCCGTGCAACCCTGGCGCCACGTGCGACGGCTGGATGTTTGCCGAGGCCTCGCCAGGCTGCCGCCTGAGCCGCCTCGCGCGCGCCTCGTGGGCGCCCCGTGCGCCGCGTTGTGCAACCCCGTGTCGCCTCGTGGGCGCCCCGTGCGCTGGGCAGGCTTCCCGAGGCTGCTCCGCGTCGCCACCAGTGCCGCTTCGTGGCCGCTCCGTGCTCTGAACTTGCACGGTACAACCTGCAGCGCATAACTGGCACGGCATGGCTCACGCAGGTCACATAGCTCACACCGCACCACTTGCATCCCATCGCTCCCATGTCCGGGTCACACCACATAGCTTACACGGAACATATTACATCAAATAACTCAGTCTGCGTTGTGGTGATAACGTCCACAACTCACACCATGTAACTTACACGACATTATTGTCAACACGTGGCGTACACCGAACAACTTTCACCTCTGCCGTGAAATAACGCACTGCTTGGGATCCACGCTGGCTAACACTTCAATGGAATTACCCGTACGGGCAAATCGTGAAATCCTCTGCCCAAGAGGAGGGCTACCCCAATCGCGCGATCCACAGACCAACGAGCACAGCGAGTTATGTGCATTGCAAATCGTGGCAAAGGATCGCATGCTGAGACACCACGACCACTACGACGGCGATGCCGCAGGCCACTGGTGAGGGCGTGGGCGAGGCTCGTGGAGCGCGACGAGGAGGGCCTCAGACAAAGACCACCACATGACCAAGAGTAGGACCAAGACCAAGAGGGCGGAGCGAGGACCAAGAGGAGGACCAAGACGAAGACCAAGACCAAGACCACCAAGACGACGAGACGGAGGACCAAGGCCAAGACCGCGGAGCATGACGACGGAGGACCAGGGACCGACGATGGAGTCCCGAAAATATGTTGGCTCCGTTGTGCCACCACGGTGGCCTCATGTCATACACTGCCACGCTGAGAAAAGAGCCGTGTTCTGAGAGGGGTAGAGGACGCGGACGAGGATGACGCTCACGACGATGGATGATGACGAGGACGAGGCGAGCATAGAGCCGAGTAGAACTCTGGAGGGGTCCTGAGCGCGGTGCCAACTGCCTCGCAAACGGCAGGGCCCTTACCGCAGCTCGCAGCTCCGTCAAGCTGGGGCCCTGAGGCGGGGCACCACGAGCCCCGCATCCACACTCTCCAGAGCGCGTCCGCCACAGAGAACGACGACGAAGACAACGACGGTGACGCCAGCGAAGACGAGGACGAGGACGGCGATGACAATGACGACGACGACGAGAAGCCGATGACAACGACGATGATGACGACAAAGACGACGACGATGACGACGAGGACGATGACGCTGACGGCGACGACAAGGACGAAAACGGCGACGACGAGGACGAAGACGGCGACCATAATGCCAAGCGGGGGAGTCGGGGTAGCGGCACGCGTCCTTGCCGAACCAGCCGACGGACACCTGCTGCGCGCGGCTTGCTCTCCGTCCTCCACACGTCTTCGCACCCTCCTCCGTATCTCCTGTGCACCCCTGAGGGGCAACATTAGGAGGAACGACCTTTGAGGGGGATCGTTATGGGGAGGCGAAGTGTCGAGGATCCAGACTTTGAGCCGCTCTCGTTGGTTCTCGGCAACCTTCCAGCCTCGGGATGCCTTCCGGCGGCTGCGCCTCGCCGAACGCTTTCCAGGGGCTCCCAGATGGTCCCAGACGTCGGTGGCAGGCCCGAGCTATGACCCGAACACCACGAGGTCACCGGCTCAGGAGGGGAAGCATCGACCTGAAATGGGCGATGCACTGCCGGGTGATCGGGCGCCTGTCGGCGATGGGTGGGCGATTGGGGGTCGACGCACCCTCCCAGAAGCCCATTCCCCCCCCCCCAAGCGCCGCCCGCAGTGTGCCCCTCTGGACACGCGAGGAAGCAGCAAAACCCGAACATTAGCCGTTCGCGGGAACTCGCCGGGAGCTCGCATGCGTGGGAAGTCTCAAACAAAAAAAAGCAAAACCGGAACATTCTAGGACATATCATCATGACCACGTCTTGCTCCTTGTACCTATTCCGCTGCCAGTCTGCGAGCTGCGTGCCGCCTGTCGCCAACATGGCTCGTGCGCCTTCGGCCCCGCCATCCACCACACATTCCCCCCACTGACCCTTCTCTTCCCCCATCCCTCCTCCATCCAACCCTCCCCGCATACCTCGTCTGCTCTGCTGGCGCGAAGCCTGGCACGGACGCGCAATATTCAAACAGATGGAAGCATTCAGCACCTTCTGGGGCCTACTTCACCTTGCCCACGGCAAGCCGTCGAGCGTAGCGCTGCTCTCTACTGCGGTTCTGTACATGGGCGTGTCGGCAACCTTCCCCAATCAAAGCTTGCGCTCAACGGGTCCTAGCGGAAATGGAAAGATTTGGCGAAAATTTCCCGACGATGTTGGTAGCAAGATGGGTTCCCAAGTTCCCAATTCCGGGTTCCCGGGTTCCCGGTTATTGGTTCCGGGCCGATTTCGGTGGGTTCTGGGTTCCCTGGCTCCCGGGTTCCCGGTCGATCTCCTCAGCGAAAACCATCCACTGATTGGTGTGTTTCTATGGTGTCATTAAGTTGTATATCGGGGGCACTTGCAATGACACGCAGCATCCAGCAATTGGTACGATGAGGGTTCTTCCAGGATCTGCTGGCGACACGCCTGGGGTACCCCGCCAGCGGCAAAAAAACACCGTTCAGCGCACAGCCTGTGCTTGACCCCATCATAAGTCAACGTGGCTTGGCGCATCGCAGATCAACGCGAGCGCTACAACCGCGGGAGTCGGCGAGCATTTCGAAGCCATACGTGCTTACAAACATAACAGGCATTGAGGAGCACAGGTCATGCGTACGTCATCCCTCTGCGCTGTTGAGTTGTACCCGTGAAGCAGGACAACCAGCTCAAATCGAAAACAGTATGAGCCAAACAATCTGACATCACTCCCCGCAATTGAATTGTGAACGTGCAACGGAACAGCCAACTGAAACCTGAAGCGGTATCAGGCAAAGCAGTTTAGGGCGGCACTGGGAACTCTGCTGCCCGCGGACAAGCCTGCTCTGACATGCTCAGCGGACATGCGTGTGGCAATCGCGCGGCCATGGGAGACGCTTTAGGTTATACGGGGGGCGCGCAGGCGGCAACACACACGCACACCACTTCTAAATCTCCACGCCTCCTCCTGCACATCCTCCATGTCCTCATTGTTATCCCTCCACCCCTCCCTCCTCCCGCCGCGTATTCCCATCTCCTCCCTTCCTCCTCTTGGTCCTTCCGTTCTGCCTCCCTCCCTGCCTCCATCCTCTGCCTTACCCTGCTGCCTTATGTCCTTCTCGTCCTCCTTGTGAACGTCATGAAATTGCCCTCGGAGGATCCTGCGCAACAGAACTTGTCTCTTCCCACCCTTATTATTCTTTTCTTTCTCCCCCTCCTCCGCCTCTTCCTTCCCCTCTGCATCCGACAGCCCGACTGCCTCTGGCCTGCTCGATACTTTGGCAGGTCTGGGCCTCTTGAATGCCTCCCACAATGGGGTCCGAACAGATGGGATCAGAGGATCGCGCCGCATCAGCGATGCGTCGGCGATACGGCTCGATGTGGACCTAGACTTGGGTTTGCGACGACCACGACGATGACGACAGAAGCGGTCGGAGGCTCTCCAGAGGTCCCTGGAGACGGAGCGCGAGGGGGAGGAGGATGAAGAGGCGGACTACAGCATCGATTTACACCCCAGCATTGATTTGCTCGTCGACTCTGAACATTTTCCATGAGAGAACGTATAGTGTTCGTATCCCTTTTGGGCCAACAACATAATGGTGTGCTACATTCGACGAGAAGAGGACTTCTGGGGCAGATCCAGTCAGCTGTCCGTCCCCTGCTCGTGGAGGAGGTTCCTCCCCACCCCATCGGCTCGCCGACGCCCAGAGGCCCCTCCGGCGGAGGGCCCCATCTTGACGCGCGATGCCGAGGCCGCACTCTCCCTTCCCCCCCGGCTTCAGGTCGGGCGTGTCCCCCTACAGGCGGATCTCGGGAGAGCAACCGAGCATGGCCAAGAGGTATGTCAAAGCACAGCACAGCAGAAAGGGAAAAACTGTCACTGTCACTGCTTTTGGATATAGGGAACCGAACTCTATACACCAACGCGTTTTCTGCCCCTGCATTGAAATTTGCACTGGAGAACGGATCCTGGTGTATACGGGACCCTGGTGTATACACGTCTCGTTGTTCCCCCGGGGCATTCGGGGAACAACAAAATACACACCACACCACCCCAGCGTCGCCCCCGACCCTCAAGAAGTCCAAGGATTGAAAGACAGCCCGCCCCTGGTAATGTGTATGTTCCCGTTTTCGAGGGCTCTCCTCCTGAAGAGAGGGCACGCCCGACTTCAGCCCCGCTCCCGCCGGCGGCTGCACGGGCGGGGAGGCCGCAGGGCGCCTGCCAGAGGACGGGGGCGACGACGAAGAGCCCCAGCTGCGCCAACGGGGGGGGACGGGCGGGGCGAGGGCAGGCGGAGGATGCACTCGGGCGAGGACGTGCAGCCGCTGTGCTGCCGCAGGGAGCAGTCGCTGAAGACGACCAGCACGGCACATGCAGAAACCGATGGGGGCTCCGCGCGGGTTGCCTGGAATTGCGCTGGACCCCCCCCCCCCTGCCTGGCGCGCGGAGCGCACCAGGGGCGGCGCCGGAGGCGCCGCTGGGGGGGACCCAGCGCGGATCCAAGAAACCCGCGCGGAGCGCCAACAGTTCATGCTCATGGAGCTTCTCCGAAGCGCGAAGATGCCGACCAGCCATAACTGGGGGAGCTGTGGTCCTTACCCCCCTGAGGGAACCCACCGCATCGACGACCTCTCGAGAGAAGTGTCGAAACCAATGGGTCCCCCAGGGGGGGTAAGGACCGCAGCTCCCCCAGTTGTGGCTGGCCTGAGATGTTGCCTGGCCACGGCCAGTCTCCGCCAAGGGCACGCCCCCCTGCCTGGACCGAGGCAGCGGCCCGAAGCCTGGAGCCCCCTACGCAGCCCAACGGGGGCCTCTCTTGCGGCGTCCTGGCTGCAGGGCCGCAGCGCAGGAGGACACTCATCCGCACGAGGACAGACCCCCGATCCTCGATCTTGGACCCCCGATCTTGAATCCTCGATCCGCGATCGATCCTCCGTCCTCGATCTTGACACCTCGATCCTCGATCGATCCTCGATCGATCTTGACTCCTCGGTCCTCGATCTTGACTCCTCGGTCTTGCCTCCTCGATCCTCCGTCCTGGATCTTCGATCTTGCGCATGGATCTTGAATCGAGGGCTGGCGGGTGAGCAGAGGAGGCCAGGGGCGAGGAGTGCGGCGCCCGCATGTGCCAGGACGACCACAGGGTGTGAGCCTCGCGGAGGAGGCGAGGGCGGATGCCAGGGAGGACGAGGACGAGGAGGGGGGCCAGGAGGATGTCGTCTTGTCGTGGACGTGGGTCAGAGCCAGGCGCTCTAACTCCCGGGCGGCAAGCGGGGGCCGAACGGGGACCGAACCAAAGGGGAGCGAGCGAGGGCCACTGGAAGGCAACACGGCGGAGGGACACCGACCGAGGAACCCTAAAGAAGGAACGAGGCCCCTGTTTCCCTTAACTTAAACTTCGATTCCCCATGGAAAACCTAAAGAAAACCAAAGGCAAACTGTAAAACAATCAAGGAACACCGAACTCCTCCCTAACGAAAAGGGTTCCTTAGTCAGCGCCCCGACTGTAGGGCTAGGAGGAGGAAGGCGTGGCGGACGATGCGAACGGAGCTGAGAAGGATCGGCGGCGAGCCCGGGGGGGAAGGGACAGGGCGCGCACCTCCTCGGGAGGCCGCGAGGCTTCTCGGAGACCCCGGCGCCCTCTGAGGAGAACCCGCCTGTGGCTTCGACGACGGCGCGCGGAGATTCCAGAACGGCGCGAGCGCTTCTGAGAAGCCCCGCCGCCTCGTAGAAGCCTACCCTCAGGTCGGGTATGTCCCCCTACAGGCCGATTTTGGGCGACAAACATGAGAAAACAAAAGCAAACAATCCAACATATTTCCCTACCTAGGCTCTGCCTAGAAGGGTTCTTACTCTGAGGCTTAAAAGGCCGGGCAGTGGAATGCGCCCCGGGCGGTTCACCCGGCATCCGCCCCGCGGTTCCCCCAGTCCCCTGGGAGCTTTAGCTTTAGCTTTAGATTTAGCTTAGCTTTAGCTTAGTTTTAGCTTAGCGTTAGCTTAGTTGCAGCTTAGATTTAGCTTAGCTGTAGCTTAGCTGTAGCTTAGCTGTAGCTTAGCTTTAGCTTAGTTTTAGCTTAGCGTTAGCTTAGCTTTACCTGGGCGTTAGCTTAGATGTAGCTTAGCGTTACCTTAGCTTCACCTTAGCTTTAGCTTAGTTTTAGCTTAGCTTCAGCTTAGCTTCAGCTTAGACTTAGCTTAGCTTTAGCTTAGCTTTCGCTTAGCTGTCGCTTAGCTTTAGTTTAGATTTAGCTTAGTTTTAGCTCAGATTTAGCTTAGCTTTAGCTTCGCTTTAGCTTAGCTTTAGCTTAGCTTTACTGTTACTACGAATGCTGCTTTCCTAGGGGCTCCAACTCCTAGGTAGGGTCGCACTGGGATAATTTACACAAATAGTTAAATCATCGTTTTCGTTTTATGTTTTCCTATTTTTTATTATTCCTCCTGTAGGGAGACAGGCCCGACTTAAACCTACGTGCCCCCCTCGCACTTGCCCACCCGGGCTCGCCGCCGAAAGCAGAGGGGACCGGGGAGGAGGACGCGGAGGAGGATAGCGAGGACGGCGGGCACGAGTTATGACGAGGAGAGGGGGGAGTCTGGCGACGACGAGGAGGCGGATGGCGAGGAGGACTGCCTGGAGGGGTCGGGAGGCAGCGATGGGGGCCATGAAGGCCATGAGGAGGATGGGGCCAGACTCGTGGAAGAGGACTCGAATAATGAGGAATATCAATACCGTCGGGGCGTTGACCTAAGGAACCCTCCATAAGGAACGAGGCCCCTCTTTCCCATAGATTCAATCTCGATTTCCCATGGAAAACCTCAGGAAAACCCGAGACAAACTTTGAAGCAATCAAGGAACACCGAGCCCCTCCCCAACGAAAAGGGTTCCTTCTTCAGCGCCCCGACTGTATGGCGAGAAAGGCGATGACTGGGAAGGCAGCGTGGAAGGCGTTCAGGACAGCACGGATGGGTGACGAGGACGGGAAGGAGAGGGAGGGGGAAGAAGGGGCGAACCAAAAACACGGATGCCGCTGCTCACCGAATCTCTCCTGGGGTGCGTCCAGACCAGGAGTCCCAGCCGAATGCTCGCATTACCTCCTCTGGGAGGAGGGGACCTGGGGGGGGGCAATTGCAGCCCCGAGTAATCGTTTCACTGGGTTCCCGTATGGCCCCTTGGGTGGCGGCAAGCGACTAAGAAATCATACATGATCACATGCTCCCAACCACCACAGGGAACACCCATTGTGGAAGTGCTGGTGTCCATACGTGTAGTCACGTGCTACCAAGAGGAATACTTGATAAAGAACGGAGAAGCTGGTCTGGCCACGAAGGGGTTCCCCGACCTGGGTATACGAACCAGCACGAAAACCGTTGTCACTCCTGTGCGCAGCGTTGTTTTTTTACATCATGGTCTTGACTGTAAAGGGCAGAACATAAGATCTGAACAAAGAAACATCCCCACACATGAAACTAGAGATGCAATAACCGCATGTAGACGAAGAAACGACTGGGCCAGGACTATCCAATAACCGACAAGGTGTCTGAGGAGGTGGCTCGGGGAGACAGGAGTGGTAGCGCTTGTCATGGAGGTGGGCGAGGCGGCGCAGTGCGAGCGGAACCAGTAGCAATGGTGACAGCGCCTCAGACCCCTGTTGCGACCGCGCGTCTTCGCACACCCAGGCCTCGCGCCTCGTCGGCATCTGTGCTGCGGGTGCGGTGGGGGGCGTGCTCAGACGGAGCGACCATCACAATTCCGTTCATGCTGAGTGACTGCAGAAAGGGAGGAGGAGGCGGCAGAGGGAACACGGACGCACGAGCTGCCGTATCAAGGAGTCTGCTGTGACCGACCAAGTGCTAACGGGCCGACCAGCACGGATGCCCTGGCAGAGCAAGAAGATGAACCACTTGCGTCTCCTTCTCCTCCTCCTCCTCCTTCTCCTCCTCCTCCTGGCCATGTTATCTCCTCCCCCTCCCATTCACTCGGGCCCGTAACCCGCGTTAACCCTTGCTGCAAGCATGGATCGAGCCGAAGAAACAACATGCATTGTGGTACGAGAATCTCGTGTGGTGCGGACGCGAACCCTGGGGCATGTCAAGCACTACTGAAAGCAGGCCAAGCCTTGTCCCACAAAAAGCTAACGTTGTCCCTCACAAATCCGAAGAGCCTCTTGTCAATCTGGTACACCTCCACGCGCAAGCAGAAAAGAGATTCGCAGCAGCGAGAAGGGTGCAAGGGGGTACCATGGACCTCACGCTGCCCCCAGGAGAGAGATTGGGGGTCAAAGACGGCATTGTCGTCGCTGTCAGCCTGCCTTCCCGCCTTCCCAACGCAACCCTACACATCCCCGTGCTCCTGCATGCTCAGCTCCTGGTGGAATGAGCCGACTCACGCTACAACATGCCGCTCGAGTGAACTGGAGGGCCATACCTGATCTGACACCAATGCACAACCCCAGTCGGGAACGCATGATAACGCTTTGCCAGCTGAGCCGAGCAACCTGGGGAAGACGGGGACACCCTGGATGGGTCTGACACGGAGGAGCAAAGGAGCAAAAGGAGAGCGGAGGAGCGTGGATGAATTCACCAGTGTGAGAAACAGAGTGTGGGTGCAGAAAGGGGAGGAGGAGGAGGAGCAAAAGGAGGATGAGGAGGAGGAGGAGGAGGAGGAGGAGGAGGAGGAGGAGGAGGAGGAGGAGGGGGAGGAGGCGGAGGAGGAGGAGGAGGAGGAAAAGGAAGCACAGTGTGGGTGGGGTGGGGGGCATCTCAAGACGCGAGTTCAGGGAGGAGGAGCGGGATAGGAGGAGCAGCAGCAGCGACACGGGGGGGTGAACAAGAGGGGGACGGAGGAGACAAGGAGGGAGGAACGAGCCGTGACCCAGGATGAAGACGGGGCGAGATAGGAGGGCAGGCCGGACAGCGGCCTAAAACGATGGGAGGGGGGAGGCACGAGGAGGAAGGGAGCAGTGAGCGGGATCGGGGCAGAGATCTGGGAGAATGCGGAGGAGTGGGGGAACGGGTGGGAAGGTAAGGATGCAAGGCAACTAGAACACGCTCAAACATGCCAAGGATGCCAGACGCCAACTATGCCAAAAAAACACGACACAAGGCATGAAAGAGTCCCTTCGGTCCCGCGCCCACCCTTCTTACCAGTGGCGACTGTGAGGGATGGGCGAGAAAGAGAAGGTGGGAGCGAGGAAGCAGGAAGAAGGGCTGCCACGCGGAAGATGGATGGTGGAAGGAGTCGGGACGAGGGAGCAATGAGCACGGAAAAGGAAGGAGGGGAGGGAGGGGGAGGAGTGTGTGAACCGAGGATCGACAATCTGGCATCTTGCAGGTGTGATGTGCGCCAATCTTGCTCAGCCATTCAGAGGCCTCGAGTGCTCCGGAGGCCAGTGGGAGGGCAGGGGGCTGGAGTCCCTCGAGGAGGCCTTCCTCGAGGGAAGGGGGCGGGGCACCATGCATGAGAAAAATGACGGGGCGAGGAGGCGGCCTCTGGAGGTAACGATGACAAGGCACTGCGCGTTCGCGACGCCACCACGCACGACAAACCCGTCACGTGCACATGCTCGGGACGAGAAGGCAAACGGGCGGCCTGGGACTCCCTGAACTTCGCCGTGTCCAGCTTGAGAGGGACAAGCTCAGGAGGTGGCTGCGGGGCGCCGAGCCAACCAAACCACTCATCTCACGCACGACACCTCTCGTCGGAGACCCGCAGCGATACACCTCAGGGGCGTCAAACTTCGCGCTTCGCGCTGCGCGACGCGCGAATAACTTCGCGCTCTCGCGCCGCCCCCCAGGGGAGAAGAGGAGGATGAGGAGTCACAGCCGAATCGCGAACCGTGAACAACTTCGCGACCCAAGGGCGCCTTTGAAACCTACACCGATCCTGGGGAAACCAAGAGGTCCCGATCCCGCTACTCCCGGGGCCTCTCCCCCGGGGGCGGTCGGAGCAGCATTCCGAGGCGAGTCCAGCGGTGGCGACGAGGGCCTGCAGGGATGCCCCACAGGGAAAGCACGAGGGAAGGGGAGCGGTATGGGTACCTTTCCCTGCTCTGGGATCCAGGCCAGGCCCATCCAGGACCCAGGATCGGCGTGCTGGTGGGCCCATGTCCCACCATGTGTGGGAGGAGGAGGAGGAGGAGGAGGAGGAGGAGGAGGAGGAGG